AATGGAATAAATACATCACTGACCTCAAAATAATACATCAATAAACTTTAACTCAAGGATGCTGTTCACAACAAAGTTATATAGGAGAATTGACTTCAAGCTTTATTTTTCCCAGATATTTGTATTACATTCATCTGATGTCTGGGTTTTTTGTTAATGCGAAGACAATATTTCTATATCTCTTTATGTGTTACACAGACAGACTATTTAGCAGACTGTTCCGACTGACTCTAATGTCAGAAAGAATAAACAAACTGTAAATTCAACATACATCGAAACATGTGTAATTTATATAATAACTTATCCATGCCTGTACAATTGGTATGTTCCTGCATAAACAGGAATAAATATATATATTATATTATTATTGTTTCCTTAAGTTCGTAAACGAACATAGTGCTCCAGCCGCTCGTCTCCATTGCGTTCGGTTCTCTGTCAACGTTTTAACCTGGCTCCACGTCTGTCCACATGCTTTCATCTCCTCTTCACATGAATTGCTCCATTTCATCCTCGCGTTGACAACCAACTCGCCGCTTCCCATTTGGGTTCCACTCGAGCAGCGGCCTGGCGGGTTATGTCACTCACTTGATGGTTTGTTTTCTCAGAGTATGGCCAATCCACCTCCATTTCTTTCGGCATATTTGTTGCACAGTTGGTTCCTCGTTGCTTCGCTCCCAGAGATCCCCGTTTCTAATCTTTTCTGACCAGCCATCTGATCTTGAGTAATGGGGGGCGAAGACAGCTGTTGATGAAGGTCTGTAGTTTGTTTGAAGTGCTCTTCATGAGGCGCCAAGTCTCATCCTTATAAGACTCAGAGAGTAGTTAAGCTGATTTTTTAGATATCCCGCTTAGGGTTGGAATTTGTGTGGACGTAAATGGTATTCACTCACAGCATTAGTTAGTCACCAGGGAAGATTTTAATTCCGGTCATATGCACGTCGTTTATTACTCGACCTTGGGGTATAACTCTTACCATACTGAAATGCCCATATTACAGCGTTGCCAGGGATATTTGCTATGGTATTTGATTAATTTAACTATCAGCAGCCGGGGTTAAATGGAGTTAAGTAACTGTAAAGGTATGATATTTGGTATGGTATTTGCATTTAGTCATTTCTGTTGTCTGTGTTTGGTGTAGATTCCATGAACCAGGATTCAGTAATCAATCTCTCTCTCCACCTACTTATATTACTTCTCAGAATTTTAACACTCCCACCCTATTGTGTGACTGCGTGTTAATGCATGCAGTGCAATTGCCGAGCTTCTTTCTAAATTACTTATCTTCTCGGGGTCAACCATTATTACCTTGGCCACAATCTGACTACCCCCAATATACTAGTGTGACCTGTGTAGTTGACCTCACTCGCAGTCATTGCAAGATATTTTGTAAGTTATATTATTTTATCTAATTGGGTCCACCGGGTCTTTTAGCCTACAGAGCTCGTCTGTGAGTGAGTTTGCAGGTTTGAATGCCACCTTAATTCCTGCTTTATTGAGAATCCTATGTAGGGCCTCAGATGTCCCCTCCTTATATGGTATGACAGTAGATGCCTCATATTCCCTCTTACTTGTGTTATCATTATCAGTTTCACCATTATTTTTATTTTGCTTTCGACATTTTTTGATATTCCTAATGACTTTTATGGGATAGGTATTCTGTTTCATTTAATCATTTAGGTCTTTTTGTGCTACTTAGTGCTATCGCTCCGTTTGTTAGACAATTAAGACAGCCTTTACAGGCATCGGATGAGATGAATTAAAGTCTAAATATTTATTAGCAGAATGCGTTGGTTTTTGTAAACGCTAGTGTGTAGTTTACTTTCCTCTATTCGTTTTATTTTATAATCTAACTTCATAGCTAATTCTCCTTGTTCATTTTCCGATTCAAATGCAAATTGTATACCCTTTTCTAGTGAGTCTACATGTGTGAAGAAATCGGAGGTATGTTCTGTTTCTAACACCATGAAACCGTCGTCCACATTTTCCCCCATAACTTTGGAGTAGAATTAGATGTACCAGGAGTTATATTCTCCCAGCTGTTCATGAAGGTATCTGCTACGGCATGGGATATTGGTGATTCCATCGGTAAACTTTCTGTTTGTCCATACATTTTGACCTGAAATTTAAAGAAACTAAATATGAGATATAACCGAAATCCTGAAATAAATTTCTCGATGGGCACCTTGGTTCTTTGATGTACTTCGGGATCAGAAGTAAGATCTCTTTCAACTGCTACTAAGGCCACAATCAAGGAACTAAGCCCTAAGTTCCTATTGTAACGAAGACATCTTCACTTTGAACCGATAGAGACTATGTATTTGTTTCAACTTTAAATCCAAAACACCAGTATTCCTTGAACGAATTTATATTGTTTGGCAACTAAAGCAAGACAAAATACAAAGTCTACAAACAAATGTTTAGTACAAATGAAGTCATAAAGTACTTTTATTCGTGTTCTTTCCTCCTTCGCCCAACTTGCACGCGATCGAACCATTCGCGCCTTCGAGTTGCCCACCAATGGCTGCCAGTTCCAATAAACAAACGTTCAATGTTCACGTCCATTGACACTCCCCGGCAAAAAGGGGTCCATCCCTTTTTTCCACAGCGGCGGTAACCTTGAGCTTAACTGCCAATGCGAGAACCTGGGCCAATCGGGACTAGGCTAAAATGGAAAGGCAAGACAGAAAAGCCCAACACACAACGAGCATACCACATCACACCGACACGCTCTCCCCGGCGCGTGGGATCTACGCTCTCTGACGACAGTACCACTACTGATCTGGTTCACGAAGTATTGGTTGCTTCATACCACTCTAGCACAATCCTCTCCTTGGCGTATCCAATTGCGTACGCTGACTCTAACACTACTCGATTCGTTCACAAGTTTAGAAGTGACTTCAGAAGTACTTACAAAAACATTACAAGATGATTCACACAATGCGACAACTATAAAATTAACCGACAACCAGATGAATCGGAACTCACTCAATTACAGGTTTACCAACATAATAACTGGGAACTTCTGGCTGAAAATAAGCTTAATAGTAGTATCCAGTGACAAAAACTGACCAACACAGTACAAAATGAGCAAAAAATCCAATAATATTTATTGTACGAATTACAATTAATTCCGCCAAATACAAATTCTTAAATTTTTTATTTTTATTTTGATTTACAGCTAGATTCCACACCGTATTTTCGAGCGACTTTATTGCATATCCCCTCAATGACGTTTGTCTGTTTGTTGCTATTGGTTTCAAGTGGCCTTGGTTTCGGGGCGAGATTTAACTGATATAATATTGTGATTTCATAGACATATCTCAGGCTCATACGTGAAAGAAATTTATTATCCTGTAATAAGGAAAAGTTGTTCAGAAGGTAAGGAGGACGTTATTTTTCAGTTTATTTGTGTATATACTATTGTGCACCGAGTTGCATTGAGTTCTTAGTGCAACTGTATGTAACTGCATTTACATAAAATGAAACATTAGGAATGCTCCTGTTTCTAGAAGAAAAACATTATTATTATCATTAAGTTTAGTAATGAAGAATGGAATTTCTTCCACGTCAATGTTATTTAATTGAAGTTGTAATCTGTGTAAGCCCTCGGAGGAATAAATTCGGCATGGAAATCTCCTATGTAAACCGAAAGTGCTTTTAGTTTAGTAAATCTTACTGACTTCCTGCATAAATTAGATATTTGTCAAGTGTATATTTCAAATCTGCTGGAGTATTCAGTAAAGTAAAATTTGTGGTGCATGATTCCAAGACTTGTTGTAGTCATTGGTATTGCCAGGATACCACTTACTTGTTTTATGCAACCGAAATATACAAATCTCGCTTTATTGAGGAAACACTATAATGCCTGCAAAAGTATTGCGTCAGTTAATGAGTTTCATAAATTCTACAGAATGTTTTCTATTCAGTGATTACTGTTTGCGAATTATCCGAGAAAACACATTTCCAATTGGGATGTAACACAAGGCTGAATTCTTAAACTCTCATCCTTATATCATTTCAATCCAATCACACATATATTAGTAGGATAGTCTATAAATGACTTTAGAGACTTATCATCACCAACTTACAGTTTACTGATGATACTGTACACCTAGACTATGAGAAGTTACCCCTGATACTGGAAAATATGAAAAGAATACCGGTGTTTGATTATAGGTGTCTGTGTTCTATCTCATGATTAAAGCAGTATAATATGGGGATTGCTCTTGAGGTTACGCATAAAGTGCTAGGTGAGGAGGGTAAGTTAGTCTTCAAGGTTGGGAAGCTGAATAGGTTGAGATGGCTATAACACGTGATTGCATACCAAGCCATCGCGTTCCTCGAGGCATAATGTTAGCCAGCACATGTTAAGGTTCAAAATGTGTTTGGGTCGGTCGAATGAAAAACTGCTATTGGTTCATAAAATCGTTGACAGTCAGCTAGAAGAACTACTAGATATATGTCTGCAAGTCTTTGTTTATGGCACAGATGCATTCACTCTGTGTAATCTCACGTATCTATTCAACTCATGTTGTCACTATTTATTTTCCCTCAAATTTTCGCTCGTTAAACTTCCATATAGTTTTATGTCTCTACTTTTGTGTGGTGCATGGAATGTGGTAAACTGAACAGTTGGACTTCTTTGCAAAGTCATACTGAAAGTCAGGCAGAATGACACAGGCTAGGCATAACTAAATGCGAAACACTGAATAATGGTCTCCAGAATGTCAACAAATGATAATTGCAGTGCTTAATCTTGTTCTTTGCTAAATTACTCGGAACCAAAAATGGTGCGAACTACTCCACTAGATGTAATACCCTAGGACTAGAAACACTATGGCTAAGACGCCTGAGACTAAACTTAACACTTTACTATAAGCTTCTAAACCACTTAGTTTTTACCTCTACTAATGGCAATCGACTTTCAGTTGACAATGGCTACAAACTAAGACACACTAAGGGTACAGTAACTATCGAACAATGTAAAACAGCCTCCAGGCAAAAGTTTTACTTGATTAGGTATGCACAGATATGGAATAAACTACCAATGGAAATGCGTCAAGCAAGTACATTGGCCTCCTTCAAAAAGGTGCTTAATGACAAACTACAAGAGTTTGCAAACGATAATAGTTCTAGTTCATATCTGAGAGCCTCCGAAATTATAGGACCATTTAATGTATAAGCTTAAATACTACACCTGTTGTTTTTTGCCTATATTTATAATTCTAGATAGAACATTAACGGTTAAGATACGTATCCTCAAACAGACAAGAAATCTCGTTTGTCAAACTACTACCCAATACAATAAGTGGAATAAAATGGACATAAACCGACAACATGAAAGAGGTATAACTCACCACAACATCACATGGACAGATGTGCGCTCGTTGGGCACCATATATCCGTCACCAACTGCAACCCACCTTTCCTTAGATAATTTAATATTCTCAACTGCTGTTGGAACAGGTGAAATTCATAAACCTTCCTCATGCTAAGAAAATACCCACAAGCAGTAGAAATCCATTAATTAATGCGTCTGAAGCTTGTGTATTTACTCCCAACAATGACATTGCAGATCAAATGAGATAAACATATCACTGATTTCAAAATAACACATCAATGAACTATAATTCAAGGATTCTGCACACAACAAAGTTATGTATGAAAATTGACTTCAAGCTTTATTTTTTTTCCCAGGCACTTATAATCCATCCACCAAAGACCTGGTTTTTTGTTAATGCGAAGACAATACTTCTGTATTTCCTGATGTGTTGCACTCACTGACAATCTAGCAGATTTTTCCAACTGTGCACAGAAATGATTGTATATAAGTGAAAAGGCTGTTTTATACTGCTGGGATTAACATTTATCAAGTGTATGTAATATCTCCAGCGGACATATAAAGCATATCTTGTTGCAGCGTGTAAATTGTGATTGAATTATATGGCTCTATTTCTGTAACAATTTGATGATGCCTGTAAACTGGCGTCCCTCATGTACTGTACTATGAGAATAAATTTATTTATTTATTTATGTGCGTAAAGAGGGAATATATTATTGTAAGACGCATTTTATTGTTTTATGAGGGACTTGACTTCAAGCTTTATTTATTTTCCTAAGTATCTGTAATCCATCCAACGCATACTTGGTTTTTTTGTTAATGCGAAGTCAATATCTCTACATTTCTTGGTGTGTCCCATTGAATAACCAGTTATCCAATTTTTCCCACAAACTGAAGATAAAATGACAGCAACCATGTTATTTAACCGTATTCCATGTAATTTAAATATGTAACTTAAATAATACTTATCCATGGCTTTACAACTTGTGTGTCCTGCATTTGTAGGAATAATTATGTACCTTATTATATTATCATTAGTGACTATACTTACTATTCGTATGTGTAATTTATCGAATTGATGATGCCTGTAAATTGGCGTCCCTCATGTACAAAAATGAGAATATATTATTATTATTATTAAATGACAAATAAATATCTTTCAGTAATATCTTCATCCACCCGGGATTCGTCTCCTACTTTGCAAGTGTTTTTTGTGCTTTATCACTTTTGTGCTAAGCTTTAAGTTATTCAACATATGCCGTTATTGACTAAGGACCTAGATGATATTAGTTGAGTAAGGTTTCGGTCGTGCAAACACGAGTCCTGTGCAGGTGATTGGTTGCATTATCATTTCCCAAATGGTATACAGCATACTGTATATTAGGGTAAGTCTTCCGCCTTGCTTGCTGAAGGTTGTGTTCCTCAGGGTACTGTCATCTCTCCTTTTCTTTTTTCTCTCTCTTGTCTTACATGACTTTTCTCTTTCTAATGAGAGCAACTTCGTCAAATACGCTGGTGATCTGACCGTCTCACTTCCTATCATGTCACAATGTGTCACCAGGAGGACTTTATTTTTGAGTTTATTCGTACATATACTATTGCGCATCGAGCTGCACTGCGATTCCACATGTAGCAGAAGATTATGAATACCTTGCTCTTCTCTTCTGCATAAGAAAGTTACTTCACAAGAACCGCTATATTTAACTCAGTAAGGAAAAATATGAATTTCTCCACTTCAGTGTTGTGAGTTAATTTGTGAACTGTGTAGGCCCCTAAAGTAATGCATTCGGCGTGCATGCTGAATAGTGAAATCAGGAGTGTGCATGTTGTACTAAATCTTCTGCGCTTTCTGTATGGATTCCATGTTCATGAATTCACCACTTAACAACTGATGAGTGTTGCATGTGATCCAGCTGAAATTATAACTGATAATTCCAAGAATTTCTGTTGTTTTCATCGGCAGCGGTTCATAGCCTATTGATTTTACACAAGTACAATACCCATTGCTCACTTTAATGAGGAGACATTAACCATGATTCCAGAAAAGTAGTACGTCAGTATGTGAATTTCATGAATCTGTAGATTGCATTCCATTCACTTAATACTGAAACTAAACTATGAGGGAATTGATATTTCCAAGAATGATATAATACAAGGCTCATTTCTACAACTGCCGTCCTTATTTTAGTTCACTTTCATCATACATGTACTAACAAAATTGTGTGTCACTCACTTCTGGGACTTACCAGGGAAAAGTCTTGTCAACTTAGTGTATGCTAATGACATTGTCCACCTAGGTTGTGAGAAGTGACCATTGAAACTGGAAGATTTCTTTTTTCTCTACCTTTGTGTGCTACATGGAATGTGATAACGTAAACAGGTGCACTTGTTTGCAAGCTTCTCTGTTGAAAGTCAGTCTGTCAGAATGATCTATAGTCCAGGTATAATGAAATGCTAAAACGTGGATAAAAATAAGCAAAATGTCAGCAAATGATAATCGCATTTTTTTATTCGGTTCTCGTCTAACTGAAAAAGAGTTGTCTTACAATAATTTCTCCTCCTACTCGAGATAACTTTTACACTCTGTCCCGTTACATCTCAAAAGTTGCACTTCTCCACCGAGTTCCATGTTAAAACTCAGTCAGTCGGCTTTGTCACTGCAGCTGCCTAGTGTCACAACTCACTACAGTGTTAATTGGCACAAACAATTATGAATGCCATTTCTTAAGTACTGAATGCATTTCCCAATTCCTTAAATTGTCCAGATAAAGTGCACTGAAGAAAACATAAACCAAAAGTCAGTAACATGGACATAAGAATTAGTGCTAATAGAAGTGAATTAGATGAGTGATTTTTTTAAACCTTTAGTACGCATAACTGAAATACTCATGTATCATTCACAAGATGCTTGTATCACAGAGGGCACTGAAACATAAACTAAGTCTAACATGAAATACCTTGGAGATGTTATTACTTCATAAGATGAGATACAATAATGTACGAGATGCTGCGAATTCAACACTGAAACATTAATACTGTTTTCGAACGAAGCAAATTACTACTTTTGCACCTCGCTGCAGTGTTAATCTGCTTATACCCTTATTATTGCTGTATCCTAAGTATTGCACTCATTTTCTCATTTTCTTGCACTGTGTAAATAGGGTGCAACGAAGAAGTTACAGTGAACTATAAGTAGGTAACGCTGACTAAAGAAATGGTAGCAGTCGAAAGAAATGAAATGAGTTGAAGACCTTGTAATAATACTAGTAATCTCCTTTATTCCAAAACAATACTTGACTTATTTACCTATGCATTTTAACGTGTCTTCTAATTATCTTGTTTTTGTCTTTGTAGACATTGCCTAAGATGCCGTTGTACGGATCTTCTGGAAGCAGTCTTTAATTTCATCTACCTTCCGCGAAGTTTGACGTACGAAAAGTCGAAATTTTACTGACTGGAAAACGCTATAATTGGTGTTACTCATGCGGCGATACGCCAGACTAGACACGTTATAGCAACGTATGCCTGTAATAACATTACCTACATAGTAAATACAATGCTAGTTACAAAAACTCGTCATTATCTTTTCATTGCGTACTTACAAGAAAAAACGTTCACCTTACTTCTCATACTAAGTACTGGAGATTCTGCCTAGTATTCAATTTTACTTGCTCTCTAGAAAATGCTTTCTACTATATTCGCAAATGACTATTAGACTTCTGTCACATGAAACGGTAAAACATAAGGCGTATGCAGTTTAGAAGTTAGGGTATATTTGCATTTATTGACACAAAATTTATGTACATCTTCCATTATTATACAAGAAAGTTCTCAAAGTAATTCAGAGTTGCTCGCAGTGCACTAATAGTATATTCATTACTATAATTATTCTGCATAACTGCGAAGCTTCTGTTCAATTACCTGCGAAGTTGCAGTATCTCCATGCAGGGTTTCTTCACTGAACCTTCACACGGCACACGACTTGGTAGCAACGGATCCTGCCAAAACCATCTGCGACACAGGCGAATTACTTTGTCAACTAAAAATATTAATTTAAATATTTGTAAGAGTTTGATTTACCTGTAAACTGAGGAATTTGAGTGTGACATAGCAGCATATGCGGGCAAGGTATTCTTTGTGCCCTAAATATTCTGCAGGTACAAGTAGAATTGGTGTAATCCACTTGGTGCAGGTATATGCCGTCACCACCTCTCCATATTTCCGATATAACTGAACCTGTGATTCCAGGGCGAAGCAAATTCTGCTAGTTATCCCTGTATTCGAATGCACGTATTCAACCACCTGACCACTTTGCCTTATTATGCGCATAAAATCTGATCTCAAAGGCATGGCTTCGAAAATAACTTTAAACTACTTCAATTACCTGGTCTCACATTCTTACGTAAATTATACACATCTGTGCTCGTCAAAACTTTACTAAAATTCTCTTCAGCATATTCCAAAACATCAGCAACCTCAGATGTAGTCTTCACAACTGGTGCAATATTCTCCTTTTCATCCCCGGACAGGCGTCTAAAATATGTATCACCTATCATAAGACTTTGTTCACATCTGTGATTGTGAACTGTTTTCGCGGAAGAAATGATAAACTCGTCCTCCTTGTAGCGTATACGAAAGCCAGATTGGCAACCGGTGTATTTTGCACTGCAGAAATAAATAATAGAATTCTTACGGTTTGACGCGTAAACCTGAACCTCTAGTTTTTCGCTTCATGCTATATGTACAACGAAAGACTACTAATTTGTACTTCAACTCCTGAGATTCATGGTCCCGTATGCACTTTTTGATTACATAATGTGTATGAGTTGCCTAGGAATACTCTGTCATACATATATACATATATTACTGATTCCAGCTGACTTAGAGCATCTTCTACTTGAACCCAACTGGTATACCGGTGACTAAACATAATTCCGTCAAAAAGGTTTTTGATATCCACTGATATAAGAAGGGCAGGTTGGTCGCCATTGTCTCCAAGTGCCAATGCGTCCATTAGGTACCACTGTAAATGAAAACAGAAGCTTGTCAATAAAAAATTCATGAATAGCCAACAGAGTACAGTAAGCAACTTGAAAGTGATATTGACTTGGCAACTATAGCGGAAAAAATATAAATTCCTTACCACAGTTACCGTTTGGGAAAGTTCCTGATTGTAGCCATAAACATTTACTGAAACACTCGTGAGCGACAAATATGGACACAAGTGATGAAACGAAGCTCTACAGAAATCATTGAGACGCCACAAACAGGAGGATTTTAGGTGCACCCTATAATTTTCACATGAAACACATTCTCAGGCATCCTCCTGCACCATAAGTGCCTTCAGGCCTAGAGGCAGCTTTTGACGACTATTCTTAACAAAATCAATACAGTTCAAGCCAAA